CCTTCTAGCTCCATCCATGTTGCTGCAAATTGCATGAGTTTATCTTTTTTGATTGCTGAGTAATATTCCATTGTGTATATGTACCACATCTTCTCGGTCCAGTCATCTATTTTGGGGCATTTGGGTTTTTTCCATAGCTTAGCTATTGTAAATAGTGTTGCTATAAACATAGGGGTGCAGGTGCCCTTTTGAATGTTTCTGTGTCCTTTGGGTAAATACCTAGGAGTGGAATTACTGGATCATATGGAAGCTCTATCTTTAGTAGGTTGAGGAACCTCCAGACAGCTCTCCATAGTGGTTGGACCAGTTTGCACTCCCACCAGCAGTGCAGGAGAATTCCTTTTCCTCCACATCTTTGCCAACATTTGTTGTTGCTAGTTTTTTTAATATGTGCCATTCTCACTGGTGTAAAATGGTATCTCATGGTAGTTTTGATTTGCATTTCCCTGATTACAAGTGATGTTGAACATTTTTTCATATGCCTGCTGGCCATTTGCATTTCCTCTTCAGAGAAGTTTCTTTTTAGCTCTTCTGCCCATTTTTTGACTGGATTATTTTCTTTCTTTTTGTTGAGTCTCATCAGCTTTTTGTAGATTTTTGTGATCAGTCCTTTATAGTTAGTGTTGTGGACAAAAATTCTCTCCCAGTCAGTGGGGTTTCTCTTTGTTTTGGTTATTGTCTCTTTTGCTGTGCAAAAGCTCTTTAATTTGATGTAGTCCCAGCTGTTTATCTTTGCCTTCACTATCACTGCTTTGGGTGATGTGTCTGTAAAGATGTTTTTTGAGGTGCATGTCATGTAGTGTTTTGCCTGTATTTCCTTCTATATATTTTATAGTTTCAGGTCTTATTTCTAGTTTTTTAATCCATTTCGAGTTGGTTTTGTGCATGGTGTGAGGTAGTAGTTAAGCTTCATTCTTTTGCATGTAGCGACCCAGTTTTCCCAGCACCATTTATGAAACAAACATTCTTTGCTCCAGTGCATATTCTTTGTGGTAGCCTCGATTTTACAGTCAGATTTCTAGGGTTTGTTTTTGGTTTGTCTTTGTCTGATCATTTGTTTTGTTTCTCTATATTCCACATGAATGAAACCAAGCAGTATTTGTCTTTCTCCTTCTGAATTATTTGGCTTAGCACAAGCCCTTCCAGTTCCATCCTTGTTGTTGCAAATGGCAGGAGTTCCTCATTTTTATAGCTGAACTGTATTCCATTGTGTGTGTGTGTGTATTACTTATTCCACTTGCAAATTATATCCACATTGTAAATCACAAATGATATATCTTAAGCTTTATATATATAATAAAGATGTGGAATTGTTAAAACTGGAGTCACACTCAAAGACAAGGCCTTAGCCTTCTTACACAAGGTTAGTGAATTAATATACTTGGATGTATTTTAAGTTTAAAAAGTATTGGAGGTATGCATATGTTCTTTTTTATGATCCCTCACTTAACGCCTCATTTTAATTAACCTACCAGCCATAGTCCTGCATATGTAAGGTCAGAGGCATTTCTTAAATGCAAAATAAGTCATGTAAAGATTTAGGTACAGAGCCTCCCTGGTGGCGCAAGGTGTTAAGCACTGTACTGTGAAGCAATCTGCAGCCTCTGCAGCATGAGTTTGATCCCCAGCTGGCCAGGGGAAAAACCCACATGGCGAAGCAGACCTCTCCTGTCTCGCCCGCTGCTCCCCTCAGCAGTGTATTTCAGTCAGTGTGCCTGTGTTCTATTCCCCACTCTGTCTCTGGTTAATCCTCTCACTCCCCTGCGTTTGTGGCCTATACCCCAGTTCTTGTATGCATAAACAAATAAATCTTAAAAAAAAAAAAGATTTAGGGCCTCCCCGGTGGCGCAGCGGTTGAACGCTGGGTTGCGGGGCTGCCCGCAGCCTCTGCAGCGCCAGTTTGATCCCCGGCTGCTCCCCACCACCAGAGGAGGGTCCCACATGGCACGCAGACCTCTCCTGCCGCCCACTGCTCCCCTCAGCAGTGTACTTCAGTCCTTCTGCCTGCTCTGCTCCCCGCTCTGGCTCTGGTGAATTCTCTCACCCATCCGCGCTTCTGACTATACCCAGTGCTTGAATGAATGAATGAATGAATGAGTGAATAAATATAAATGAATGAATGAATGAATAAATATAAATAAATAAATCTTTTAAAAAAAGATTTAGGTACAGAATTGTTCATTAATGGTAAAAAGAATGGAACAATCTAAATGTTTATTAATTGGAATAATGAAATTATGTTATATTTAAAAGGTGAATTAGTGTATAGTTCATTGAAAGACCTATTTTCAGTTACTATCTTTTAACAAGAAAAATATTTATATGAAATATAAAGAGCACACTAATGGGAAAAAAGTGAACCAAGAAATTGCAAGATCCTGGGTTTCAGAGCATTTTTTCAACATATTCTCTATGCTTTTCTATACTGTGCAAGTATCCTATAATGAATATGTGTTTGTTTTAAGTCAAGGAAATGCTTTTCAGCATTTTCCAAGAATATTTTCCTTTTCCCTTGGAAAAGGATCCCAAGACTAGCAATTTTAGAAACATACCTGTGTTCCTGGGTCTTTGCTCAGTGTGTTTCATTCAGTATCTGAATTCAGGGTAAGAGAACACTTAATGCCCCCAAATGTAAAGAAAAGCAAAAACTCAGGTTTTATTTATGTAGTTTAGGACTTCTGTGGATTTAATTGGCAGGCAGTTATTTCCAGTTTCTAAGACCTAGCAGAGGTATCGTATGTGCATTAAGCTTTTGCTGATTGCTCCCACCTTCACCCCAAAGCAAATGCCCCTTATCTATACTCTATTTATTTTAGTGCTTTGCACACATAGTTAAAAAAATATAGTGAGGGGCCTCCCCGGTGGCTTAGCGGGTTGAACACCCCACTGTGTGGCTGTCCACAGCCTCTGCAGCACGGCTTTGATTCCGGCCCTCCAGGAAGGAACCCACATGGCGCAGCAGACCTCTCCTGGCTCACCCACTGCTCCCCTCAGCAGTATATTTCAGTCAGTCTGCCCGTTCTGTTCCCCGCTCTGTCTCTGGTGAATCCTCTCACTCCCTCCCACACATCTGGCCTGTACACCAGTTCTTGTATGCATAAATAAATAAATCTTTAAATAAAAAAAATAGTGAATGTATCTTCCTCTTCCTTTTGCATATTATACTGCATGTTCCTCAGAAGGACTGCAGGAATGGCCACCTTTGTGTTCTTAGCACCTAGACAGACCTTTGCTCCTCAGTAATTAGCTAAATGTTTTGAATAAATGTCCAGAAGTACCCCTACAATATAAAGTTTTTCTGAAGTAGTGTGCCTTTGCTGTCTTCAGATATCAGTAGTGGATAGTAAAAAAGTTCTCCAGTGGCCCACTCTAAAATATTGCAGCCTGAAGAACATCAGTGACAGGAAAGCAGCCAATCAGCAGCAAACTGTGCATTTCTTCTAATGATTCTCAAATATTTTTACAATAGAAACATATGTGGGCATATAAGTTTATGTAATCATTTTGGAAGGGCAATTGGGAGTTATTTATGTAACTGAAAATGCACGTCATCTTTGCATTTCTAGGATTTTGCCCTTCATATATACTTGCATAAAGATATATGGACAAGTATTCTCATTAGAGTATTGTTGGTAATGTTTCTCATTAAAAGAGTGACTGAAATTTTATGCAGCAATTGAGGATGAGGTAGATTTTTTGTATTTACAATGATGATGATAATGATGTTTGTCCTTTCAGTAAATGCATAATATATGGCAGGCACTGTACTATGCATTTGACTTATTTTATCTAATAATTCTTACAACAATTATAAGGTAGGTACTATTATCATCCACATTTTCCAGCTGAGGAAACTGAGGCACAGAGGTCATATAACTTGTACAATGTCACTTAACTAATAAGGGGCAGACCTTATTTGAATACAGACGATCTTAGGTTAGAGCAGGCTGCACTATTAACCTCTAAAATACATGTCCTCATTCCTTCTAATGGATAAGAAACATCAAAATACGTTAAATGAAAACGCAGTTTAACTTAGCATATCTGAATTTTTGAAAAGTTGTGATACTTAATTAAGGATAAAGTCAGGAATTATAAATGTTTTGTCCATTCTTACTTCCATATCTTAGTATAGGGTTCCCCTTATTCTAATGTTCAAGATAACAGTTGTCTTCAAAATTTACTTCCTCTGGGGTTCATTATTTACCTGATTTCACCTTGTATACGTAAGTTATTGATTGACATAGCACCTCAGTTTTGCATTTTATCCCCTTAAATTGCCTACATTTTCTGTTGTTCCCCAACACATTTGAGGCTGCTTATTATAAGCAGTCATTGCAATATATAGGCTAATATAGTTCTGCAGTTCAACAATGAAGTTACTTTTAGTTTTCCAAAAGTAGACAAAAAATATGTATGTTCTGAGTTCCACAGTTCTTAGGATTTGAGAAAAGAACATGTACCATTTTTTTCTTTAAAAACCACTTTTCCTTAACCTAAAATTTGAGAAGAAATCCATTTCATGGACTTTTATGCCATGTGTACTTTTTTAGTTTCTCTGTTGTTTTTCTCTATGCAACTAAGTTACAAGCTTCCTTAGGAAAAATTCCATTTCCTATACTGTTTTTGTTTCATCTCTGCCTAGAAAACATATACTTCTTATTATAGTTGAAATTAAAATTAGGACACAACTACAGCCCAGCCACATTTTATAGGTGACATTACCGTCACCTTCAAAGATTTAATTTTTGAGCAGTTTAGAAATGGATACTACTTTCATCCTCCTCAGCAATGATCTTCTCTGATGGCCCACCAAAAGAAATCAATTTATTTCTTAGTGTGTAGCTTTTATTGCATTCTTTCATTTTGTCGCCCCTACTTCCTAGCAGAGTATGTAGTGTGAAGAATTGGAAATCTGCTTGAACTTTGGTTTTATGACAATTAAGTTTTCTTAAATATGGCCTACAGTTTTTTAACGATACACTTTTCCTCTTCCGTAGGCCAAGTTATCAAGGCATGGGACATCGGGGTGGCCACCATGAAGAAAGGCGAGATCTGCCATTTGCTGTGCACACCAGAATATGCATATGGCTCAGCTGGCAGTCTCCCCAAAATTCCCTCGAATGCAACTCTCTTTTTTGAGGCAAGTATGTGTGTGATGTTGCCTTGTTAGCATCTGCTCTGCTATAGTGCTGGCTCTGAAGCAACCGGCAGTGGAACAAGGAGCTAAGCTTGCTGTTGAGAATCAGATCCAACTTATTTATTTTGGAGCTTGGCTTCTTGAATTGTTTCCCACAAACCCAAAGGGTGTGTGCCAATGCTTTCTTAGAAACGTGTCTCTGGCACAAAAAGGTCATATTCAAATAAACAAAAGACACCAGGCTTAGAAATAAAAGTTGTGGTCAGTGGTGTGAATATGAAGTACTCATAATTGACCAGAAAATGGTGGACATGTGGGAGATGAACATTGAAATCTATCTAAACCACATAATATGAAGTATTTTCATATTTGAAGGTTTATAAATGTCATATCTATTTCTTCAGTAGAAGCAGTAAGTGGTGATAATATTAACAGGCAAAATAAAATGCCTGAAATATCACAACTAAGTAAAATACACATTTAGTTGGCTTTAGGCCTCATTATATGATGTATTCTTATATTTTTAAGAAGGAAATTCCATGAACCTAGAGTGGAAAAGTGGTAGTCTCTAGAGTCAGACAAAATAGCTCTGTGCCAGCGCTTTGTAACCCTGGCTTTTTGCCCATAAGGCAGTTTTCCTAGTATTTCCTGTCTGTCTTTGCACTGCAGCCCCACAGGATATAGTCCCTAGACATTATCATTACATGAAGGTTCTTTCCAGGTATTGAAAAGTGCAGTGTTCTCTTTTCCTTACTTTTCCAATAACTAAGATGCCTAGATAAATATAAAATTGAGTTTTATTTTATAAAATGAAGAGAGAATCAGTTACACTTGCCTTTTTAAGTATGTTAAATTGGCTTTGTTTAGGCTTTCCTCAGCCAAATCCTTTTCTCCCTTCTAGATTGAGCTCCTTGATTTCAAAGGAGAAGATTTATTTGAAGATGGAGGCATTATCCGGAGAATCAAACAGAAAGGAGAAGGATACTCAAACCCAAATGAAGGAGCAACAGTAGAAAGTAAGTACTGCTGTGAGAGGAAACTAGTCCTCCCTCAAAAGTTGGGTTCCACACATATGGATGAAATGGGTGTTTTGTTATTTTTCATCTGTTTACAGAAACCAACATATTGAATATATATATATAAAGAGTAGTTTCACACTCAACAGTTATTTAATAGCCTCATAAATCTTCATTCAACATATATGTGCCAGGTACTAATGTATCAGTCTCTCCAAACCCAAAAAATGAATGAAAGGTAATTCCATCCATCAAAATGTCTTAGTCTGTGGATTCCTTTGTATGCCAACATCTATATTCATTGCCTTACATATGTATTCACTTATTTCTCACAATAACCACTTGAGGGAAGATTTGTTATCTCCAGGTGAAAAAAGTGAGCTAAACAGAATTATATAAATGTTCTAATAATACAGAGTTACTAAACAGATCAATAGATTGTAATCCCCTATAGAGCTCTCAGACCCACCTCACTGGCTGCACCTAGATAAAAAACAAAACAACACAGATCATTTTAGTTAGATCAAAATTAGATACTGTTTAATTCTGTTGTGTTCGGGAGACCTGGATTCAAGTTCTACTTTGCCCTAGCGACCTGAAGCTACTCTGTTTCTTAATTTGCTCAGATAGGAGTAAGGACACTTCTGAGACTGGGGTAACTGGACATTCTTCCTCCATCTTAGAGCACAGTGCATGTGCCACTCTCACTTTATATTATAGTCAGCAGCTGTTCATTTCCCCAGTATGTAGTTAGTGTGTGAGCACCAGAATTTTCCTTCATCTTTTTGCTGCCAGCTTCACCCACAGTGCCTTACAAATATTTGGTGTTCAGTAAAGACTTTCTGCATGGATAAGTGTTAGAAAGATACAACTTAATTGAGCTGAAGTACTCAGCTCAGTCTCAGTAACTCTCAAAAAAAGAATTATGAGAAAACAGAAATACTCCCATTCAGAAAAAAAATCAGATCACTAAATAGGAGTAATAACATGATCTGTTATGAACGTCCTATTTAAGATAAAGAGTTCATTTAAAACAGTAAACTAGAATAGCTATTCCTCATTTTTAATGTTGTATATGTTATTTTGGACCCATATTTCATTTCCACAAATCTTGCAAATTAGCTTAAATTAGTCGTCTTCTCCAATTGGAACTAGTTATAAATGGTGTACAGTTGAAGTGTTTAGATTCTAAATTATCATATATGTTCAGTTTTAGAATAAATGAAGGCATGTTCAGATGTGTAATGTTGAAGAAATACCTAGACCAGTTACTACTCTGGGCTTTGCCTGATGGTGATTTTTCTTTTCCATTTTTCCATTTAATTAGAATTTCACTGTAAAGAAAATTGTTCTCCCCATATAAACATCTTCATTTATGTGAGTGTGGACCCAAAATGCCCCAGATTTGGTCACTGCAAGCTGATTTTTGTGTTTTTTTTATCATACTTCCATTGTTTTTTAAGTACTCTGTTAATTTTAGCACAAGCTGTTTAAAGTTCATTTTGTAACTGCCTTGCCGCAGGCCTGGGATCAACCATTTCGCCAAGGAGCTCTGATTCCTTTTATTGGGAAATGGTATTTAGAAACCAGGATCTAGGTACTAGGTGTACTTATGTCATGGAAAGTTGTTGCCTTTAGCAACTCATAGCAGACAGAATTAGGAACTACATGTACCTCAGGAAGCGTGAGCACACATCTCTATGTGTTTCTACACCAGTGTATAAGTTGTAGACTGCATGTATGGTTTAAAACCATGTATACATACCAACACTTCCCATTCCAGTTCAATACCACTGGTTTCTTCTAGCCTTCTCCCTTTGTTTATTTGGAATTACTTTCTCCGAAAAGTAAAAAAAAAAAAAAAAATAACAAGGAAAAACTTGTATGTAATTCTGATAGAACAGGATAAGCTACCCCAAAATATGTCATTTTTGGCAAATTAATTATTTTGAATAAAAGTTATTTAAGAAGCAGCCAATGCAAGAATCTGTGTCTTTGAAAGGAGATAAATTCCCCGTGTGAAAAGTACCCTCTTTGTAAGAGAAGGATAGAAGGCATCCTTATCCAGACGCAGGGAATTTAGGTTGAAGAAGCCTGTGAAAACAAATTTAGTCACTTTTGACTCCCACAAACCCAAATCCTTTTTTTCTTATCTATTTTTCTTTATATCTGAGTTTAAAAAGCTGCATGCTTTGGTTACTTTTTCAGGTCTTATATCTTTGGGACCCCCAGTGCATCTGAATTGTTTTTTTTCTCATGTTATATCAGGAGACATATTTGATCATTAAACCACCCAAAGCACCTCGGACAGGAGAGGGCAAGTTTCTCTTTTTTTTTTTAAAGATTTATTTATTTATTTATACAAGAACCGGGGTACAGGCCTGATGTGTGGGCAGGTAAGAGGATTCACTAGAGACAGAGTGGGGAACAAAACAGGCAGACTGACGAAATACACTGCTGAGGGGAGCAGTGGGCACAGCAGGAGAGGTCTGCAGTGTCATGTGGGACCCTCGCTGGCTGGCTGGGATTGAACCAGCGCTGCAGAGGCTGCAGACAACTTCACAGCGCAGCGCTCAACTGCCTGCATCACCAGGGGAGGCCCCAAGTTTTTCTTTTTAACAGTGCATTTGGTAACTGCCCTGCCCCAGGCCTGTATAACATACACTGAAAACGTTTTTCCAGCCTGGGTTAGCTCTCGCTTCCTCCAGTCCTTTCAGTATGGTTCTGTTACTCACTTGTAATACAGTTCAGTTCATTTGTTATATTTGTTTTTTTTTGTTTTTTTTTTTTAATAGAGGCATGTTTTTATTTATTTGTTTGTTTGTTTATACATGCACTGGGTACGGTCAGAAGCACGGGAGGGTGAGAGAATTCGCCAGAGCCAGAGCGGGGAGCAGAGCAGGCAGAAGGACCAAAGTACACTGCTGAGGGGAGCAGCGGGTGGCAGGAGAGGTCTGCGCGCCATGTGGGACCCTCCTCTGGTGGCCAGGGAGCAGCCGGGGATCGAACCAGCGCCCCAGAGGCCGTGGGCAGCTTTGCAACCCAGCGCTCAACCGCTGCGCCACCGGGGAGGCCCTCATTTGTTATATTTGAATTCCATTTGGAGTTCCCCCTAGAGTCTGCTTGATTTTAATTATTTACTTGTTTTTTGAGGTATATGAAACATAACTGATATACTCAGAAGTGAAATTCCAGGCCTCTCTGGTGGCGCAGGAGGTTGCCCTGGGAAGCAGTCTACAGCCACTGCAGCACGAGTTCCATCCCCAGTCAGGGAGCTACCCACATGGCACAGCAGACCTCTCCTGTCTCGCCCGCTGCTCCCCCAGAAGTGTATTTCAGTCAGTCTGCCTGTTCTGCTCCCCACTGTGTCTCTGATGAATCCTCTCACCCTCCGCACCTTTGGCTTGTACCCCAGTTCTTATATGCATGGATAGATAAATCTTAAAAAAAAAAAGTGTAATTCCTTGCTCATTTCCTATTAACCTGTTCCCTCCTACTTCCTATAAGTAACCAGTCTCATTAGTTCCTCCTTTATTCTTGTATATCTTTTTTTTTTTTTAAAACAACAACAGGATTTTTTTTTTTTAAGATTTATTTATTTATTTATATAAGCACTGGGTAGTCAGAAGCACAGGAGGGTGAGAGAATCCACCAGAGCCAGAGAGGAGAGCAGAGCAGGCAGACTGACGAAGTACACTGCTGAGGGGAGCAGCAGGCAGCAGAAGAGGTCTGCGCGCCTGTGGGACCCTTGCCCGGAGGCCGGGGATCAAACTGGTGCTGCAGAGGCTACGGGCAGCTTCTCAACCCAGCACTCAACTGCTGCGCCACTGGGGAGGTCCTATTCTTGTATATCTTTTGCAGAAATAGTATTTTTTATATCCCCATCCTGCATGAAGGATAACATACTATGAGTGGAATTTTTAGAATATATTTGGATAATCCTTTGTGTAAAAAATTTTTTTCAATATTTATTTATTTATGTATACAGGAACTGGGGTACAGGCCAGAGGTGTGGGGGTGAGAGGATTCACCAGAGACAGAGCGGGGAACAGAACAGGCAGGTTGAAATACACTGCTGAGGGGAGCAGCGGGCGAGACAGGAGAGGTCTGCTGTACCATGTGGGTAGCTCCCTGGCCTGGGATTGAAATTGTGCTACAGTGGCTGTGGACAGTTTCATAGGTTGCATGTTAATCCCTTGCACCACCAGGGAGGCCCCTATTTTCAAATTTGTTAAGGAAAATCGGCAACTAATCTTTATTTATCTCGTTATATTGTACCTTCTTGGGAAATTGTAAATGGTTTCTTACTTTTTCTCCCAGAAGCCCTTTTCAGTTTTCTGAAACAAATCAACTTTATAAAAGTTTATTGTATTGTATTTTCCTTTATCAAGGTTAAGGTGTCCGGTTTTCCCTCTTTGAAACAAGTTGGCTATGTGTAGAACAGAAGATTGACTTTAAAGTGGTGCTTGTCAGAAACCAAGATCACCATGTTCTTTTTGAAGCCATCTCAGTTTTTACTGGTTTGTCTTTCTATGTAACATTACCCATAGATTCAATTTCAAAACCAGCTATGAATCTTAGAACTGAAACCAGTTCTTTTGTGAAAGAGAACCATAGATAACCATCATCCACTATGATGTCATTATACATATACAGGAGTTATAAAATTTCTATCACTTTTGTGTAAGATACAGTAGAGCAGCTGAGGAAGAAGTGCTTACAGGCTTTGGAAGTAGAGGACCTAAGTTCTGAATCTTGGAATCACTACATATATGACTGTAGACAAATTACTTAACTGCTTGGTGCATCTGCTTCTCTCTCTGTAAAGTGAGAACAATAACCTTTTACCCCCACAGGTTGTTGTGACAGTTAAATCTAGAAAGATACCTAGTACTGATGGACAATTAATTTCTTTTTTGTACCTTCTAGATTATGATTATATAACTTGTTTTGCTTCCTTTAAATAGATAGAAGGAAAGAAACCCTTAACTCATCTTTCT